AGAGACGAGGGGAATCAGGGGTTGTACTCAGGACGTAGAGTTATTGACCTGCCGACGAGGAGGTTCTCTTGTTCGGGAGGAATGGCTGGCAAGAACTTTCCCGAGGTCGTTTGCGTGGCGCACGAGACGTCTCGTTGTCGAGGCAGAACGTAGAAAAGAATCAGCCATTCGCTCTTTGATCGATAAAACTATACACAAAGACTTTATACTCATTTATGTCTTGAATTTTTTGTACGCTATAACGATATGAGCTGCATGCTCATATTGTATAACTATATTACGTTTATGTTCTTATTTTTCCGACGTTAATCTTTAATTATGATAGGTCGGGTGATCACAGCACCTCAGGTATAGTTTTCTTTAAAACTTTGTTCTGAAAAAAGAAAAAAAGTATTGTCCAGATGCTCAGAAGATTTAAAGTTCATTATATCTTTATATCCTTTTATCTTATATATAAGGGAATAATTAATGTAAATTTAACTACAGTGAGAAAAATTTCTGGTTAAAAATGGATGAATCAGAAAATTCTAATCAAAACTCTGGTTATCTCAACTAGAATTATAATAAAATGAACCAAAAAATGTTAATTTGTTTATTTTCAAAAATTCTTTAACATCAGACTTTTTTCAAATATATAACATAATACACTAGTAAAAATGTAACTATAAAATTAAATTCTTTTAGAATTTTCTAAGCATCTCATCTATCAACTTGTGTATCATTAAATCATCTACCTATTTAAAGATTAAAATCGCGTGTTAGGATTGCAAATTAAAAATATCACTTCCCAGATCTAATACCATTATTCATTACGTTCCATAAATATTCTCATAAATGAATTTGATCGCGGAACGTTAAACCTTCTTTTCTCTGAAATCATCTTTTTATCCTTTCTACCTCTCGTATTTCCTACTAATGAGACTAACGACCCGCATCGATAGTGGTAATAAATGACGATGAAACTTCACTTTGACGCGGGGGAGAAAAATTCTCTCTTAAAAGGAAATACTTTGTTCTATTAACATTATATGACAATGTACGTATGTTGACGATTCTTGTTAATTCTGAGAGATCCTTCAACAAGGTTCCCTGCTGCGTGTTGCTTTATACCTCCTGTCGAATCCCCTACTGAGTCTTTGCCCCAAAAATATTTTCTCGTAGACTCATATTTAGGAGAATCGTGTTTTTAAATAGATTCTCTGTGTCATTCCATTCTTTGCATAGAGTGGAAATGTTGAGAATGACGATGCGATTTGATATGTACTTTCAAATACGAACAGAACGAGCAGGCAATTATTAGAATAATTAAAACTGTAATGGATCCCTTTATTGAGTGAAAGCGACCGAGCGGGACGACGCTTGATTATTTCGTCGCGTTTATGTAACACACCGTGGAAATATAATTGCCCGCCGCATTACGCCGTGGGTACCCCTGTCTCATACACACTCACACACATAGAAAATCTGCAACGACACTCTGTTTGTCATGCAAGCATGACAGAGTCGGTCATAAAATCCTCGTCGCAGCGTGACTGTAATGGACTTCTCGGCCACCGTCTAATACCATCGTCTCTTTTTCTGCCAGCCACCAAAGTGTAACCGCGAGCCATCGTCTGTCCAAGTTCCTCGACGATGAGGAATTATCGTCGGATCAGTGAAAGCATATCACTCGTACATCGACACAGATCTAGAGCGTGTAAGAAAGAGAGAGAGAGTGTGTGTATAAGAGAGAGAGAGAATTAAACACGACAATTGTAGAGTTCATTTTAGATATGCGATCTTTTCCGTAATTTGCACCATTTTGTACAATTTTAGATCTGCGAATCGTTGTTATTTCACGAAAGATTTCGCTTTTAGTCATTCGCATTAAATTAGTTGGAAATTTTTTTTCGCAAATTAACGTGGGCGTTCAAGATTTCCCGAGTCTACCTTTCAAGAAAATCAAAGAAAAGTTTACACACGGTTATTAAAGTGTTTTACACGTTAAAGGATTGGAAAGGAAAGTACGTGAAATCACAGGGCGATATTCCTTGCGCGATCGCCGCGGGAAAGAAGGAAATCATTTTTCACCTGCGAGCTCCGGCACTCTCATAGCGCGCCGTTATATTCAGAGGTCAATCTTGGTCGACCCAGCGCGCCCGAGTAAACGCGATCTTCCGCGACGCGATTAATTTTCTCGTGTGCCCGCCGCACTCGCGCATATAGATATATAGATACACGTTTCCTCTGACAAGTTTTGAGCCGACGATGAGCTGAAACTGCGTAAACTTCGTACAAATATCGTATTGCATCGCTGTACAGGCGATAGCATTAGCAAATCATAAAGTCTAATGTGAGTCTAATGAGAATCGATGGACATGGCGGGATATGTAAAAGCGAAATGCTTCTTCTCCGATTGGTAATATGAACAGATCGTTAGAGATAAGATTAGAGTATTGGTATATCGATACTCTTGTGAAAGACAGACTGACTTTAAATTATCTAAAATCGATCTGTAATAAATGCGAGAAAGTTATCATTCTTTCGGATTCTTTCTGTATTTCTGCAAGGAAAGAACGACTTTGCTGAAAGATAAAATTTTATCGCATACAAATTTAAAAACAATTTCGTTAGACCGTCAAAATAATTATGTCGGAAAAAATTATGAAGTGCGTTGCAAAAGATTTTGATATTACAGCAACTGGTTTGAAAAAAATTATTTTCAGATCTTGCTAAACGATCTAAAATTTTGCTGGATATAGATCTGAAAATAATCTTGTTAGACTATCAAAATAATTGCATTGGAAACTCAAAAATGACGAGCAGTATTGCAAAATTTTTGCTATTTTAGCAATCGTTTTGAATTTCCAACAAAATTATTTTCAGAGCTTGCTGAAAAATCTAAAATTTAGCTGAATACAGATCTGAAAATAGTCTTGTTAGTTACCATCAAAATAATCGTACCTATTGGAAATTTGATGAGCAACGTCGTAAAAAATGTTGGTATTTTAGCAATCGATTTGAGTTTCTAATAAAATTATTTTGGTCTAACAAAATTCTTTTCAGATCTGTATCCAGCAACATTTCTTTTAGCAAAATCATTCTTTCCGTGTGTGGCCCTCAACAATGGGAAACAGTGTTTAGACGAAGCTCTTACCGACGGTACTTTCCCTTTTCGAGCTATCACCAAGAGACAGAGGCGCGTACGTAAAAGTTATACGCAAAAATCACTGTCCGCCTATCCGCGCAATATAATGCAACTCGCCGCGCGATTACGAGATCATGTACCGCAATTTCACGCGATCGCAAAACATCGCATTTTACGCTCGTCTCTATGCGGGTACGATCGCACGCGCTCGCTTCGCCAATTACCAGTCGCTCGTTGCTTGTATGACTTGTAAGTTGGACGAGCGATAGGTAATTACGCTAATCGATCCCACGTTCGTATTGACTGTTGTAACACTTTGCACGATAAACGTTCGCGACCGGAATTCTGCGACATGACTTTGTTCTTTAGTCCTCGTCCACGTATTTTATCAACCTGAGATTTATTCACGTGGCAAAACATTTGATATTCTTTCGCAATATGTCATTATAATTTTCTGCATAGTTTCTAAGAGTATTTTTTTGCGTAACAAAAAAATGTAAGTGTATGTGTGTGTGTGTGTGTGTGTGTGTATATGTAACAGAATTTAATCTGTAATAAAAAAAAGAATGTTATTTTTGGTCGGAGCGGATCTTGGTGCTTAATAATATTCAAATATAGATTTACATATATATTTTTCAGTTTTATAACCTGCGCGTTGATTTAATTTGTTGGATTTCAAAACGCAATCATAAACTGAATGTAGAAATAACACAAATTACATCAAATTAATAATTATCTCAAAACATATACATAACATTATAAAGAATTTATTGCAAATAATATTATTTTAGACAGAGTATTTAATTGTAAATGTTTTTGTAAATCTATATATGCATATTATTAAATCAAGATTCGCTTCGATTGAAACCAGAATTCTTTCTCTTATTTGATTTATTCTTATCGTTCTAATTTTTACTTATGATTATTAACAACTTTTTTACTTATCAAAAGAAATTGGAGAGAATAAGGGCAATAGGAGTCAGGCGCAGAAGACGTCGCGCAAATAATACACCCATAAAGCGTAAAACTTCTTTATTCTACTAAACGCGCTTACATATTTCGGCTCACTTTTGAGCCTTCTTTAGAGACAACACAAACTAACATATATAAAATGTGAATAAAAGTTATCTTATCATGGTGAGCTCCCCTACATCGAGAATATAAATGTCAGAAATTAAACTCAAAAAAAATGAAAGAAAAAGAAAAAAGAAAGAGAATATTGGAAATATCGAAATAGAGAAAATGGAAAACACACTAATTTATCAAAATTTTAAAATTATAATTAATTATCCCGAAAATAAGGACGCTCACCATGATCACAAAGCACCATATCGCAAACATTATTATTAATAAATATTTATTAATGGTGTTTTGTGATTATGGTGAGCGTCCTTATTTTCGGGATAATTAATTATAATTTTAAAGTTTTTTGATAAATTAGTTTTCCATTTTCTCTATTTCGATATTTCTAATATTCCCTTTCTTTTTTCTTTTTCTTTCATTCTTTTTTGGATTTAATTTATATTCCCGATGTAGGGGAGCTCACCATGACAAGATAACTTTTATTCACATTTTATATATAGTATGTTAGTTTGTGTTGTCTCTGAAGAAGGCTTGAAAGTGAGCCGAAACATGTAAGCGCGTTTAGTAGAATAAAGAAGTTTTACGCTTTATGGAAGTATTATTTGCGGGACGTCTTCTGCGCCTGACTCCTATTGCCCTTATTCCCTCCAATTTCTTTTGATTTATAAGGAGTCTTTGTTAGTTTGATTTGTTATACGGATTTTTTACTTATTATTCTTGCTAGCTTTGCTTTGCATTCCATCCATATTTACGAAGAAAATAATTAACCTTGATTTTTTTTCTGTTTCAGCATAAGATTGGCGAAAAACCTAATATACAGTTCCTAGGAAATGAAGGGGTGAGTAAAAGCAATGTATTTTTTTCCTGTCAATAATCATATGTCCAACATATGAAGAAATTACGACATTGAGAATTCGACGCGTCAGTTGGTCGATAACGCGCGAGCAGGTGGAAAGAGATAACAGATTAGAGATAATAGGGAGTTTTTGCAATAGCGTTTATCCAAATACAGTGAACGCTAAGGTCAGGTTATCTTCTTCTTAACAACTAATTAAGAAAAAGATAGAGTGACTTTAGCGTTCACCGTATCTGGATTCACGTTATTGCAAAAACTCCCTAATAGCACGTTCGCGGATCGCAAACATCAAGATTTTTAATTTTCCACTAAAAAGAAAGAAAATATTTTCTACCGTTTGTTAAAAAATAGCACATTCCTAGAACGTTTGCCAAAACTATTGATTGTAACACTCAAATCACCGTGTTTCCTTAAATTGCTGTAACGTTAGTATACTGTAGAAAAAGAATTATTAAATTTTAATAAATATTTATGTAAATAGTATTAACTAAATATTTATTAAATGTAATATTTATTTGGCAAGAATCATTAATTTGATTTAAATATCATTCTTTTATTGAATAAATATTTATTTACTATACTAAGTAAATGTTTAGTTAATATTATTTAACAAAAATATTCATTAAAATGTAGTAAATTTTTTTCGGTATGCACGAATGTATCATTAACTATTTTTTCTTGACTTACAATAACAAGACGGAGATACGAGATAAGAGTTCAATGACCTGTGGGGGATTGGCCCTACTTTTGAAAAAATTAACTTTCTATAGTTCATTTGAATGCTCATCGTTTGCACATTTCGAACTTTCGTTTGCACACTTTTGATGAATAATTATTAAAACAACAATTTAAGGAGGGCTAAATATAAGCTTATGGCTTACCACATCACAAAATATTACCTATTTTCATTGTAGATGGCCTCTTAATCTTATATACTCGTGTCTTTATGAATCAACCTGTACATTCGTCCTAAAAATTTCTACGGTCAAAATGGATCGTGGATAAAAGAACTGTCGGATTTCGCCGGTTACTTAAAATATATTCTATAGAATGTAAGAATGGAGGGAGTTATAGAGCGAGGGAGAGAAGAACGGTGAAATTTTCTTTCGGCGAAAAAAAAGTGAGAGTGAGAGGTGTGCGAGTGCTTCGTCGACTCACGTCAGCATTTTTCTTCTCTTAATTTACCGACACGACCAGCCATTAAATTATTTAGCAATATTTTATTTCATGTTACTTAGCTTTATAGCTGCAAACTGAAGAAATCTACTTTTTCCGTATTTTGTAGATGTAGCTTGCTACATATCCGAATTACAAATTTTTACTCGTCTATTTGAATATCTACGCATGACCATCATGACGATGATCGGACGTATCACGCGAAAAAGATCTCGCGACGGTAGCACGATTCCGTGCAACCGACGTCAAGAGTTCGATCTCCTCCCAGCCGGCCGAGTGGTCGCAAGATCACATGTTTGTTTGTGTGTGTGTGTTTTTGTGTTTGTGTGTACGTGTGTCGTCACGGCTCCACACACCGGAGATTTCCTCGGTGAAGGCGATCGAGGTCGTCCGAGCAAGGTTATACACCATTTTCTCTCGTCGAGACCGATCAGTCTCTTAAACCTTCCTAAACTCTGCGGATATCGATACTTTTGCAATGTATAATAGAAAGATATAAACAAACATTTTGTGCCATTTTGACTTAATTTGTATCAATTAAATCTTAAATTTAATTATTGCATCTTAACTGGAACATTTTTCAAAACTTAATTAGATCAAATATAATATGAGGGGAAAAAAAACTTTAGGCACGTAATTAGTGTAAGTTGCTGAGCTGATAGTAACGTTTTTTAAAATTATCATTGAGTATGTAAATATTCTATCTCTACAATTTAAAAGTACAATAAATTTGTGTAATTTATCACGTTAGCTGTCAGTTAGATATAACTCAAATTTAACTAAGACTGTAGTTAATCGAAGTCGATGAAATCACCTTTTTTTATCCGTTTGATAAAAATTTAACCATCGGCGTATTCTGTTGAATTGTTTATGCTCGAAAAAATGGCCTTCGAAAAACGGATTGGATGGTACTTATAAAAAGAGTGCTGCATAACAGCCATATGCCACTGGCATTCCTTAACGATAGCAGCCGCTGATTGTCGATACGAAATCTCTCTCAGTGATCTGGAGGTAATTGACCTGCTCTCCTCGTCCTTCATCGACTTCCCCTTGCTCTCGGGTGTGGTCGTTGTTCGCCTGCATTACAACGGATCGTACCAAGTCAAATTCGACAAGATGAGTCTGTCATCAATTTTAAGACCAAGAAAATAGATTCCATCAGTCGAAAAGAAAACAGATTAAAGCATAGAGCGTTCATACATTTCTTCATCTCAGATTCGTTAAACTAAAACTTTGAATTGATTTCTTATGACGTATTACTTACGTGATTAATCTTGAATTGCAATATCGTAATTAATCCTTGAGACTTGCGTCGATAGAAAATGAGTCCGACTCGTTACTGAATCTAAAAGAATTACTGGGGAAATACACATACCGAGATATAGAATGAATTCTGCAATTTTTAAATTTCTTGGAAATCTTTGTCTTTCGTATTATTCATTCTCCTCTTCATTTCTCCATTCATACCATTGAGATTGTTTTATGCTGACCTTTGACAATCTTCCACTATTAAAAATCTTGAAGATCAATGCGTCACTGTTGACCTTTGCACAAGTAGCTGGGATTATAGGTAATGCCTTAGGGCCGCCTGCATTCGACATCGTTGTCTGGAAATTTATCTCTTAAGGACGACTTGTCACGAGCGTTATTTCGCGAATCCTCGGAGAACACAGCAGAATACATCTCTGTAATTTTCCAATAGCACGGTTAATATTTCAGTTATATATAATCACTATAAATTAATACATACTTATTTACTTATATTCGATTATTTCTTACAACGTCTCAATTCTCAACGATTGAATTGAATCCATTTTTTTCTTGGAAAAGAAAAGATATTTGCAATTTTTTTTAATAAGCTTGAGTTGTTCTTTGATACTCATTACTATTCAAAGAAAAGTGTGTTAAAATTTAGTACATTTTTTCGGTGTATTTACAGTATGTGCCAAAAAAATACGACTTTCTTTCAATCACTATTATGTTTGCTGAGTGTAACACAGTAACGCAGTGATTGCAATTAAAGGAAATTATATCGAATAAATATTTGGTAGGACAAAATATTTGTGTTATAGTCAAATTTACCCCCGTCCACTCACTTTATTTAATTAAACTGAAGTGTTAGTTGTAAGAGTCGCATTTTTTTTTTGGCGCATACTGTACATGTATATTTTACTGAATAATAAAGGAACAAAGGAAAACCTGTTCGATATTACCCCCAAATTACTAGCGCGACACTTTGACAATCTTTTCTATCTTTCTTTATTTTCCGTTCCGGGGCCACGGGTGTCAGGAACGCGGAGCGATTATTCCAGTATAATTCGCTGTTTAGCGGACGTCCTTGTCGCGACTGACGCACTCAGGGAGAACCGATCTCCGCTCAGGCCTTCTCTATACAACACCCGTCTGGATCGTGGCAGCAGGCAGGCCAGGCGCAGCGTAATGTGCATCTGTATTGTCCGTGTGTATGTGCATACACAATGCGATTTCATGTGTAGCAGCAATGCTCGGCACGATCGGGCACGATACGTGCGCGACAATCATCGATGGGGCCTCCCCGATACATAGAAACATACGACTTTGACACGTATATATCATGCCACGTTGTCGTATCCTCCTTCTCCTATCCTCTCTTTCTCTCTTTCGATCGTGGATCTCATCACTTGCCTTCTCGTGTAATTTTATCATGAACGCGAAGAGTCTCTGTATTTATGAGACACGGTTTCGCGATAGTGGCGGTCTTTCTTTTTTTTTTTTTTTTCGTAGATTCGTGTGCGTCGATAGTTGCGCACGTGCTCGATCGTGTATTATGTGTACGTGTGTACGTGCGAACGCTCGCCTTCGCATTGTTGCCTTTCACTCGGTTTCTTAGAGCACCCGCTGTATATACATACATATATGCATATACATACAGATGTAGGTTTTACCCGGGAATAGCGCATTATATATATATATATATATATATATATATATATATATTGTCAACGTTACCTCGACACCGGATCATCGGAGAGTACGGAAGAGCACATTCCGCGAATTCATCATTCACGCGGATATTTCCGACAAAGAGATCCGCAAAATTACCGGGAAAATTTTCTTTCGGTAATTCCGCGATGTACGTTACCGCGAATACACCGGTTTTCTTCGAAGCACTCTGGCATTTAATAGGATATTCAAATTTAATTATTTCATATATGATATAAGCACCGATTTCAATTATTCCGCATAAAATACAAGAGCTTCATACATGTTATTCGATATTTGTGTAGGATTTCAGTACTTAAGCAAAAGGTTATCATGCGATAATGAAGCTGTTTTAAATTGTTACTTGAGTTTCGAGAAATTTCCATCGTTTGCGATGTCGATTGATCAGACATTCGATCCAATCATGGGTGATTTTGTAAACTTTGTTTTCACCGATTGCACAAGTACACAAGGCAATGGCGTGAGTCAACTCTCATTACGTTATACGTGGCGAAAAAAAACTTTTACAATGTAGAATGCGGTTGTTTCTTTCCTGCAATAATATTGTTCGGGCGAATGGAATTGAATCGGATTAAAGCTGAAAATCAGCATCTCTAGAAAGGTAGACACGTTTGAGCATTGAAATAATGGCCGCGTTTAAATGTGTGTAGCGAGTAAAATGCGGCTCAGTGTTTCAGTGGTCGACTCGACGATCGAGGGATTATTTCGCAATTCTTTAATTGGTGTCAAAAAAAAAAATAGAGGATGTTTGTCTTCGGGGACGAATTGCGAGGCGGAAGTTTCCTCGCGCGTTATTGTCTCAGGATATTTCTTCCTTGAGTCTT